CACTTATCATATACACAAGTGACTTTTACAAACGAAAAACGGACAGTCCTTTAATATAATATTATGTATAATTATATAAATAATTTACTTTTTATATGATGTATAAAAAAAGTACACCGATTGAGAATAAACATTACAAAATAAATAATTTAAAGTGCGCTTGTTTGTTGTTGTTGATATTCATTCAGTTTTCATTTTATTGTACATCCAAATCGTATGACGAGAAAATGAATTACGATGTGCAAATATCACTTGTAAGAATAGAATTGTACTCAAATACTTGAGATTACTTCTGATACTTAAACGTAAATATTTTTATTTTGTTGACATCAATTAATATAGAGATTGTTTGTTTCTCATTTAGACAACTGCTGATATGATTCAAGTACAAATTTACACGTCAACAGATAACATTTTTTGAACGCTGATTTGACTTCAATGCGGTTGAATCACATAATTCATGTTAAATTTAGAGATTTATATCCAAATTTATAAGTGAAAAAAAATTGAACAAAAACATGTTCACGATTTTTTAATGTAGTAAATATTATTTTTTGTCGACTGCTCAGAATTTAATATTAAATTTATTCAATACCCTTAAATTAATCTGAATGTTTTTTATCAGCATAGTGCATAAAATTATTTTCATTGGATTTCGTCTCACTTCTATTATATTTATTGAAACGAAAATATTTTGTTATAAAAAATCTTCTCAAAACATGAAGTTTTTGTCAAAATAATAATACACTCAAAATAATGATATATCATAATCAAAATAATATATATTACAAAATCGTTTTAGATAGAAGTTTGTTAAAAAAGAAAAAAAATAACTCTATAATTAAATTCAACTACTTAATAATTAAAAAATACATAAACTTAGAAAGCAGTTGAATATTTATTTTATTTATTTACTTACATGTTTCTTCGCTATTTCAATTAAGTAATTAAGAAATTAGCATATAAAACGTTATATATTTAGATGCTATTCTTTTTACGTTATTTATTGATCATACCATTATTTTAACATCGGGAACTTAAGGACTAGTTTAAGCTGATAAAAATCAAACTAAAAAAAGAAAATAATTAAAATCAAATATTCACACGAGTTATTGAGTAACATGGACAACATATCGGGTCAACTTACCTTTTTGCTGACATAACCAACCTTCTATATTTCTGCATATATTGGCCTTCTGCTTTTCAGGTATCTGTTTGTTTATCTGCATAATGTTTGTTGATTCTATTTATCCATCTGGTTTATGGTCTATTGCATACTACTAAGTCATGCAATGAGATGCCACCTGATAGATCGCACCGAGTTACATGCTTCGCCCATCCTAACCCCTTTGCCTTCATATCATGAGATATGGATTGCCCAGTTTCTGTAAGAACTTCTTTATTGGTCCTTCTCCATGTGATAGTTCGACAGATTTCATCGGTAATCGCGCGTGAATTTTTCCCTAATCTTTAATACTTCTTTCAAGGGTGGTGTTGTTCAGTGTCTTGGTAAAGATAGTAAAAAGAAAAAAAAGTCAGCCTTATAGAATAAGAATGATATAAGGTTCTAAAATGAAATAGAAACACATTTCGTTGAATAAGTATCTAAAAGTTTAGTTCTGTTTATTTCTAAGACAATCCTCTCTAAAATATTTACAAATACCAAACCCATACAAATATTTACTGAAATATTGTGCTTACCACTGTGAGTACTTATCCTATCGAAAACATAAGTAACAAAAACTGCCAATGTATCTACCATTAGTACATATTTCATTTTCTTTGTTTGTTGCGGCCAACAAAGGTCAATTTTATTTTATTTATGACCGTAATAAGGGAAGTAAATTTTAATTTAAATAATTAACATCAAAAATATATTTTTAACGATACATCCAAGCGATGTTTTCGGCCACTTCCGGCACAGATCGCCTCTCGCAGAGTCACGTGATATCACTATGCAAAAAGAGCACAGTATGGCGCCATGAGGTCCTTAATCCCGTCACAATTTCCCATGGAAAACCCAGTTTTTGATTTCTCAATTTCTCCATTCCTCAAGTGTCAAACACCAATTTTCACGATCTTACACAAATTACTGCTATTTGGCATTTTATTTTTACAGCCCTCATAACTTCACATTACTTTAACATTTTTAAAATAAATCAATTTTGCGAGGCCTCCTGTGCCTATGCATAAGGTTGAGCAGAATTGACTGTTTAAATTTTAATGTTCACTGCAGCCATATGATTAGTAACAGAAGGCATATTTCACTACAAAATCTAAGAAGATCTGTACAATCTCTGTTCGTCTTCAACGAGAAGACAGATGTGAATTTAAATACAATGATAATCACAATAATGCTGTAAAATCTGAAAAAAAAAAATAATGAGAGAAACAGAAATACATTTAAAGCAGGCAGTGGCCATTGTCCTAGAGATAAGAGCTGAAGGCTAGATGAACATCAGCTGCGAACAATTTCTGTAATTAGAGACCTTTGAGAAGAGATAACATCGTCGAGGCGCAGGCTTTTACATTTCAAATATGTGCAACCTGTTCACGCTTCTGTTTCCACACCGAAGAAGGGCTATTAACATGTTATTATGTACCATGTTCATATGCAATTAACATGTTTTCTCATGGCGCCTGCATGCTATTAGCGGAATCATAGCATGACTGTACGGATTCCATGAATGCATCCATTGGGAAACTTGCAATGGGAGCAGCCACTCATCAGTCCAATCACTCCTTCCTACAAGTTACAGTTGTCCTAATTTTAAAAATGGCAAGTTAGTTGGTTGTAAACTCGGAAATTTCGAAAATCATTTTTTTTTTTTTATTGGATTATTTGTTTATTGATAAATACTACAGTCTGTCTCAATAAAGGACATTTATAATAGAGTTCTGAGAGCACATTCACACTATATTTACAAATTCAAAAAAAAGAAGAAAAAAGTAAGCTAATTTCAAATAATATAAAGCTATAAAAGAACAAAATAAAATATCATAGTGAAGGAAGAAAATATAAATAATATTAATAATAGAATGAAAATAATTAATAAAATAGAATGAAAATTATCTTTAAAAAAAAAAAAAAAGGAAAAGTAAGGAAAATAAACATCTTAGATGCAGGCATACCTATTTACAGTCGGCCATGAGAACTCTGAACCGTACTTATCCCCCCACATGTGGAGGGAAAGCGAGGCTTCAGATCCCTACGATTCTTCCTCTACCATTTCAATGGTATTAAAAGCCAGCGGAATTTGAGTAAGGGCGCTACAACGACGGACACTCATGACTTGAGTGGAGAAACTGGCCATTGCCAGAAATCCAATATATACATGTTACAAATGGTCACGGGGCCACTGCCGTTTTAGCCTGCGAGGAGGATTGTAGGGATGAGTGGTGCTAGATAGGGATTGTGCTACGGGATTAGGGTGATGGGTAAAGTTCTGATTAAATTTGGAGAATTTGTCTGGGATAAGATCAAGAATAAATGGAATATTCAGGTCATTATGCAGGGTTTTATTGGTGACATAGAAGGGAGCATCGACTATTGTAAGGAGGAATTTGGACGGGAAGGATTGAATGCGTTTGATGTTAGAAAATTTGGTTGTCTCCCACAGTTCCAGTCCGTAGGCTCAGATGGGTTTTAGTATTGTCTTCTAGATCAGTAGTTTGTCTTCAATAGAAAGTTTAGATTTTCTATTAAGTAGACTATATAGCTGGCCATAACGTCTTTTAAGTTCCTGTCTTTTCAGTCTAGTATGCGGATTCCACGTTAGTCGTCTGTCTAGGAGAAAACCAAGGTACCGGACTGTGTCGGAGAAGGGAAGCTAGGTGGTATTAAAGTAAAGTGGTGGACAGGAATTACGACGAAGTGTGAAGGTTATATGTTTACATTTGGATTCATTGACTTTGATGCGCCATTTCTTGCACCAATATTCAAACAAAAATAATTAACAATGTTTTCTGTACATTTAGTTACATGAATGAATTACTAACAATTCAAAAGAGCATGGACTTTTTTTTCTCTAATGGCTATTACTAAAGAGCTTATTTGAGTCTACCATCTAACAACCAGGTTCTAACACAACCTGATACTTTGAATCCAATTACGGGAAGAAATATAATTTTAATTTCATAATTGGTTTCCTGTCATATCATAAGTCAGTAGTAGAGAGTAAGATGATTGGAAGGTATAACTGGTAAGGAAAATGGTGATGGAGCTATATTATTCCATCATTGCATAACAGTATGTTACGAATAATAAAAATTTGTGTAACAAGAATGGATAGGAAAACAAGAATGAATATAATTATAAAATTTATATAAATACGTCTTTATTATTGTCCTATTTAAAAAAAAAATCATTTATATGGAAAAAAATCTTGATATTTCATTGCCACATCATTACATAATCATGTATAACAAGTAGTTTCAAGTTTGGTTCTTAATAAAATTAATTAAAAAAAGTTTGTATGTCCATTTTAACTGTATATTTATATATACCAATGGTCTTTGTTCTAGAGATAAGAGCTTTAATAAATCTTAAACATACATACAAGATGGAAGATATATAAAGATGGAAGATATATCTAAGCAAAAGTGAAATAATTTGCAAATATTTGTTATTTAAATAATATAAGAATGTTAATTTAACATGACACATACGATATTTAAATAGTTAAAGAAACCTGGATTAGAGGAATAACATTTTTTTTTTCTGGTTTCGGATAAGAAACAATGTGGATGGCTTTATATTTAAATTAATCTGGTTGAACGATACGAGTAGCTTAATTAAAAAATTATTCGTATTGAATGATATAAGATTTAATAATAATTTATAGATATTACAGATTTTTTTTTGGTAATTTAATATAGATAAATACAATTATTTCAAACATTTGACACTTTTCTTTTAAGCGCTAATAAAATTTGAGATGGTTAGCTGATTAATCCTTTTATTATGTTCACAGGTCAAAGTATGGTTCCAAAACCGGAGGATGAAGCACAAACGCCAAACTTTGAGCAAGCAAGGCGAAGAAGGTGATGAGAAGGAAGGGACGGGAAAACCGAAATCTGAGAAAGGACTTTTGCTCCACGATGAGAACAGCAAAAAGAGTTGTCAGAGCTGCGAGCTTCCACCAGGCATGCTGGGAGATCACCTCGCCTCCAGGAATAACAACAACAACAATACCAGCTTCAACAACAACAGCAACGCCAGCAGCGGGGCCTCCAGTGTCACCAGCACTGCGAGTTCTTTCGAAAAGTTGGAGGAAGACTCCAGGTCTAACGAAAGCAGGGTACTCACCTCGCCCGGACTGATAGGCAAGAGGCCGGGTGAGGTGGTCGTCAAGACGGAAGGCCTCAGCCTCTGCAGCTCCCCGGGCAAGAAGATGGTCAAGGAGTCCAGGCTCATCTCTCCAGACGTCGCCGTCAAGGCCCTCACCCCCGCCTCCACCCCGGGCACCCCGCTTGGACCGCAGGTCAGCCCCCTCGAGATAGCGGGTCCGTACTCCCGACCGAGGAGCTCTCCAACGGCAGCGACTGCAGTAGCTACAGCTACAGCTTCTGTAACAACAATTCTACCTAATTCACCTGTCGTCAATCCCTCGCTGGTGCAGATCGTGAGGTGTACTGCTCCTAATTCCTTCCCCTCACCTCAACGTCATGACTATAGGCAGCAGTACCGACAGAATTACCCGAGGGACTATGCACAGCGATACCCGGACTACAGGCAGCAGAGTCCTAGACCGAACGGCATACATGCGGCTCGACAACGTGGTTTCAACCAATACCAATACCAGAACATGTATAACGGGTACGGGCAGGAATACAACTACCAGCGGCAGTACAGTTATGAGGAGTATCAGAACTACAGCTACCATTACGAACAGCAACAACAACAACAACAACAGCAGCAGCAACAGCCGCAAGACTATTACCAAGAAAACTACCAAGAGTACACCAAGGCGGGGCAGGCGGCGGGCTACTACGAGAACCAGATGGGGCACCAAGGGGGCGAAGCCTCATCGGTGCCGAACCACTACATCTCCTCACCAGACCCGTTCCCAGTGAACGCCCCCTCAGGAACCAGCCTCATGACGCCCCCGAACAGCGTGCGAACCGAGTCTTCGGACCACTATACCTCCTTCCATCACTTCTACGGCGAACAGCAGCAACATCAACAATCCGAGAACAGTAACAGTTCCTCTGACTTTAACTTCCTGACTAACTTAGCCAACGACTTCGCGCCTGAGTATTACCAGCTCAGCTGAGATATGTTAGTCAACTGAAGTGACTTCTTATTGTAAACTGTTCCTTATATTTATTTGACTTTAATGTGATTCGGATGCAGTGTGCAATCGACTTCTAAAATAATTTTCTACGATTATTTCACATTTGCAACTTAATGCATACAGTGATTTGGCCTCTTCACACTTCTATATTTGCAATGTTTTCACAGAATCAAGCATGTAATAAAATATTTGGTAATTTAAATGCCGTGTCATTTACTTTTGTTGTAAATTAAATTATCAGAGATATAAATAAACAATTATATTATATTGTATAATACCAAACACAAAAATATTTGAAAAAAATCAACCTTCAGAAATCGAATGCTTAGTGTTGATGAAGGGCAATCATAGGGGAAAGTGAATCTGATTTTTTTGGAGAGAAAGTCAAGAAAAGATAGGGAAAAAAATCATAGAGCGCAATCGAAAATGTGACCTCAATATATAAATGAAGGATTGAAAATTTCTTCTCTCATATCTTTCTGTCTGTATTTAACTTGTGAATAAATTCTCACTGAGAATAAAATTTAAGAAAATAACCGCGTCTTTGTGTAGAATATTGTTAAAAATTGCAGTGCAATTGTCTATTATAAGAGATTATTTATTGTTGTTTGACTGTAAAATAAAACATTAAAATAAGGGATCGGGTGCAATAATATGATCTTAAGGAACCGAGTTTTTTTGAAAAAATCGATATTTTAAAAGAATATTCGAAATCGAAACATTAATGAAAAAAAAAATTGTATGTAAAAGACAATGTGATATTATACCGCGAGTAAAAAATTGGAATAATTTTATTCGTTTTAACTTACCCTAAAATATGAAATTTAAAAATCATGAATAGCTGTGGATCTTGTAACATTTCATTGTAAAAAAAAATAAAAAAATGTTATTGTAAAATACTGTGTAATGTAAATGTTTTAAATGTGAATAACCGTTTCATATGAATTTTATGCTTTAAAAAGTTTAACTATAATTAATATTGTACTTAGAAAAAAAAAGATGATATAGAAAAATTTTTAAGGTATATAAATGTTATTATTATTACTAATTATAATTGTTAATTTCTTCAGCGTTTTGTTGAAATTTTATTGTTTCCATTGTACATAGTTGTATCTAAAAAAAAAAGCTTGGCAATTTTTTTGTTCTCATTTATTTAAGTAAATGTTATATAATTATTATATAACATATAAAATATTTTGTACATTTATGTCACCGCTAAGAATGTACAGATAACTTTAGTGTACCTTAAGATTTAAACTACACCTTGTAATAAGATTCATGGCATTAAATATTAGAAATCTAAGGATATTCATTGAGTTTTCTTACAACCCCTACATTTTTTATGGTACTTCTCTGAGCATGATTATAGTAATACTGATGACAATTTAAAACAGAATTTTACAATCCACGTATTATCAAGTAAGTAATAAAATAAAATAAAATAAAATATTTGTTTTATTGATTTTTGGCGTCGAGTTGAAAACAATACAAATCTCACTTCTTGAAAGAACCGTTTCGTTAAAACAATTTAAAAGAAAATTATATATATCTAATAATTATTTTATTTTAAGTGATGTTTCCAAGACTGTTACGGATTAAAAATGCTGTCAACTATAAATAGAAGGTAATTGAAAATGAAAGTAGGTAATTGTTTTTTAACCAATCTTAAAGTTGGGAAAATAATTGAGTTAGGCAGTGTAAGGGCGTAAATGAGGATGTAAAAACAAATAAGTTAATATGTTTGCAGTACGTATTATAAACAATTAATTTACGCCCATCATATTTAATTAAAAATAAAATAATCCTTTTTTTTTGGCCTTTAGACTTGTAAAAGCAAGTCCTATATTGCCTAACTATTAATTAAGTTGTTACTCGTAGTTGAAATTGAATCCAAAATGTGAATATTCTCTGTGAAACTATAATGATTACCTTAAATCATAAAATTCTATATCGATAGCCATATAAATTTTATAATGGTTTTATATATTTATATATAACCAATATATATATAATTAATAAATATATTTATTGAAATTTAAAACTGTATTAGTTAACAAATACAACAGGTAAATTAGAAAATGGTAACATGAGATGTACAACATGGAGAAAAAACTACCCGTTGGTAGCACTCCAATAATAGTTCCATATTAGAAGGTCCCAAGACCATCTCCTTTTTTCTGACTCCTTGGAGTGTTATCAGGAATCCAAGAGGAAGCAAGGCTAGAATCAAGAGAGTTTGGATGGTTCAGAAGTTTATTTTAGGATAATAGTTATGTTAAATTGGAACTTTGATAATTTAATAGATTTATATAATTACATGAGTTTACAGTATTTACTTGAGTTTTATTGAACTTACTTATGAGTTTCATAAAACTTTTTTTTTTGCTCTTCAAATCCACACCTGTCATGGTAGTGGTCATTAGCAGATAAAACTTAAATGAGCACAAGGAGCTTATAAAGGTGTGTTTATTTAATATTAGCATTGTCCTGATCTATTGGCATAATTTTCATTTATTGGTCTTAGAAAACTCAAAGCTATCATCCAGAGCTTGTGACCCTAAACTTATATTCGGTACTTTTCAATTATTTCCTCACAAAAAAAAAAAGCTTTTCTTTTTAATTTAGAATTAAAAACATATAATTCAAAACGTTATTTACTAACAAGAATAATAATGGATATCTTTCATAATTGAGGTAAATGGTTCCATCGCTCTAATTTTTTGGCGCAACAAAACTTCTGCTAAATACGAATCTAGTTAGGGTTGCCCAAATACGAGACCGAGGCGAGTATTGGTCATGCAAACTCCGCCTTAGTCGTGGTCTTGGTCTTGCGCAAGACTTTCGGAACAGTCTTGCAGTTACTTATTAGCTTATTAATATAGAGATATCACTGTAGTTTTTTGGATAGGAGAAACCTAACTAAGCCTGAATGAAAAATTAGTGGAGTTAAATGCAAAATTATATTGGTTATACCAGTTATTAACACATAGTAACTAAAATTGTCAAGTATTAGTAACTATTTTACTTTAATTTGTATTTAAAATATCTATTTTTTTTACCAGTCCTGGTCTTGGTCTTGCAACAGTTAGGTAGCCTTGGTCTTGGTCTTGCAAAGTGCAAGACCAAGATCGATTTTGGGTAACACTAAATCTAGTGCGGATACATCGAACTTTCTTATTTCAATCATAAAAATCGAACCGGGTTTTATTTGCTCACAAATTATTGGTCGTTGACAAAGATCTGTCTTCAGCAATACGAAGGATACATTCATTAGCTTAGCGACATATTCCTCCAAACACCCACTACTTCTTCACCATTCACGAAAAAACTTTTGTCTATTTCTACAATAAGTCCTTCTCTACCAATCACCGTACTTTCCTTCATACGCAGCTTCATACGTAACTTCCGTGTGCATACTTCGGTTTTTCCTATATTTAATTGACATAGAGTGACCAAAAATATTTTCTGGTGACCATATTCATAACAACGTCTGTCTCCATTATATCGAAGATTTTAACATGCTAATTCCAAATCATAAAATAGCTTGGATGGACAAACGGAATATGATATCCTGAACGGATTCTGGTAGGTTTGGAGTTTTGTAAAAATTAAGGGATCATCCAGGCGTAAAACCTACAAAGTCTAACATAATTAAAATAATTAACCCCATACTCGCCTGCATACATTTTTGATAATACTTTTATGATAATTACGAGGGAGATTAAATAATATAAATTGCAAACTGTATGAAATATGCTAATTATATTGTATTATATTATTATTATTATGATATTATTGTATTATATATAACATGATTTTATTGCGCCATATTTATATTCGTTTTAAACAAGAAACAAAAACTAAGGAAAGATTTTTATCAGATTTTTGATAAATTTGTTCTTATGATAACAATGAATTTTTGAAACAGTTTAACATCGAAAATGAGATGTTTGACACACCTAATTCAAGTATTATTTTTTTTTCTTAATTTTTTCTGATTTTCTTAATCCAAATTAGAGGTTAAAACGGGACAAATCATAAACGTTAAAAAGTTTATGGATTTTTATTTGTTTCGATGTTCACATAATTGGATGTTTAAGTGGTACATCGTTATCTTTGTCTCCAATATGGTTTCTCTAGTATAAAATATATCTGTTTTCATTTTTTTGTATACTTTTTTTTTCCCATTTTATTTGAGACTTACTGAATATGTAAGGTTTTATCTAAACGTCAAAGACATTTTTTACGAGATTTATAATTGTTTAAAAAATCTAATTGTTCGGGACGTTCATGATTTTTTTTTTTACAGACACATACTGGCTTCACATGGGAACAAAAAGGAGCAAAAAAGATTCGTCAGATTTTTTATAAATTTGTCCTGTTGAATGTTATGAACTTTTTTAGCTGTCGGACATCGAATGTACTTTTACTTGAACTATCTACTTTTTTTCTTTTTTTTGAGTTATTTGCGAGTTGGTTGACATCAGGAAAAATAAAGGCGTTACGTATTTTAATAATTTTTTATTTTATTTTTTTATTATGTACTATTGGATGTGTAAGTGATAGATCGTTAAATTGTGTCTTAATTATTGTTTCTCTAGTATTAGAGAATTGTAGTCAACTCAACGTTAAAAACAAAAATTTTTTTTGCATATTTTTTAAGATAATATTTTAAGAATAATCGTGCCTTTAAATTTATAATACGAATATTTCCTGGGTTCTATAAGCTTCCGAAGGTATTTCATAACCTACAGATATCATAATTCCGTACAACCGTTAAGGACCATTATTGGAGAAGACCCTTGAAAAAAAGAACACACCAACCGCTACTCCATATGGCGCCTGGGCCAATATCGGCCTTCAGGGGGAGCTCTCTCATCATTAATCAAACAAATTGGACCCATCCCCTGATCGTGTCTGTTCATCTGATTGATCGGCGTCCGGTGCTGAAGTCAGGGGTGGGTACCACGGGTCCACAGTGGTACAAGGGGTACATAGGAGAAGGGTGTACACAACGGTACACATGCATAACAGGAAGTCGCGAGGCAAATTCAAAGTGTACAAGAAACAAGTTTTTGAACAGTTATGGAGGACTAAATTTATCAATATTCTTTGCATTAATTGTGTTCTTTAATAGCTCTTCTGCTCATGCCCTAAAGTAGCAATTTTGTGCTTCATAAAGTGAGATAAAATAATACAAGGATTGTTAACTAACTATTAGGTTCTCAGTATCAAAAAAAAAACCTCTACCACTACAACCCATAAACTGTCTTGGGTTCAGTACTTCCAATTACTTGGGTTCAGTAATGAAGTACTGTTACAAGGGCAACGGTTGTGTTTGGAGGTGACTAGTTCAAGATCACGCTCCCTATGATTATCATTTAAATAAATACATTACGTGTACACAAACAATATTACGTTAGCAGTAAATTATTAAGAATATTACCGACTATACTATAGATTGGGGACCATTTCATCAGTAGAGGCCGCAGTAAGGTTAGGCAGTGCAATGGAGGCCGCAATAATTTTTTATATTTTACCGTTCCTATTTTTATTTATCACTAAATAGGCATACCCACATTCATTCATTAAACTTAATTCTATAAAGTTCCATATTGTAGCTATTTAAATAGTCAATTATCACTTAATTCTAGCAAAAGGTCAATAAACATCGCGCAAAAACGTTCAGAGACCGCAATTCCCTTACCTATAGACTATACCTTCAAACCTTAATTTACATATACCGACCAACAATAACACCAATAGTGTTGCCCAAAATCGGTCTTGGTCTTGCACTTTGTAGAAGCGGTTTCATAAAAAAATTCGTTAATAAATAAGACGATGAAATTTTGATGATATAACCATTTGTTCCTGTGAAGGTCTAATTGTAATTTATATTTTATTTGAGAACAATACGCATTTTAAAAATTAAATTGATTTAAATTATATATATATATATATATATATATATATATATATATATATATATGAGTCAATAATATGAAAATAAGAAATCGAAAAGTGAGTTGTTTCATCGAAGTTTTATTTGTATATTTAATAGTTGACCCTTGCATTATAAAGGAAGGAGATGGTCCGGGGTTGGCTGTCATAAATAGGCTAAATAGTGGCAAAACTATTTTATTAAAAGCCAATGTTTCGACCCGACTTCACAGGTCTTCTTCGGGGCTAGAACGGACAAGATACAAAAATATAGAGGATTGTGTAAGTTACATAATACTTAGGTAAAAAATTATAAACAATGCGAATAAGCTTATTAAAATTATAAAGAGTAAGTACACTAAAATATAAACAGAGTAAGCTAAGTAACAAGATCCTAAACTTAAGTAAATAGATGGTAACAACTGTTGTACTGTAATATATAATATATGGAAATGTGAATGTACTTTTTCAGATCAACAGGACAGATTGAAAGAAAAGGAAAAAGGATATAATATAAAATAATAGACATAAAGGAATGTGGAGAAAGAGAAGAAAAAAGAAAACAAAAAAATGAATAAGTAAATAAAATTAAAAGAATAAAAATAGAGATTTACAGTTAGTCTCAGTTCTAAGTGAAACTCTAGCTGGACAGTTAGAATAGCTGGCTTTTATTAAAATAGTTTATCCACTATTTAGCCTATTTATGACTTCCACCCCGGGACCATCTCCTTCATTTATAAGGACAAATTACAAAGTTTTTTGTACTTTGTTAAGCTGTTTTATTGAGTAATATAAAACACGACATGGACATTGGTTATAGTGAGAAAGGTATTCATCCGAATCATATTTACAGAATATATAAGTAATTATAATAATATAAGAATTTTACTAAATAATAATCAAAACCTATATAAAATAAGGAAAAGTAGTGTGAAATAACACAGACATTATATCGTTGTCACCATGTTAAATTGACGAATGTGAGCCAGTTTAAAGTAGCACATTCGATACTTTGACATGGTCCGAACGATATAATTAAAATCTTTTATTTTAATTAAATATTAATTTTTAAAAAATTAAACCTTTTTTTTTAAAGATGAAGTTTAAATACCTACCGGTACCGTTTATTGTATAAATTAATCCTTACTACTAGCTACCATTTAATATACATTTATATTTTTAAAAAAAATCTACAAATAACATATTTATTAAAACAGTATTAGAAGTATTATTATCAGTTCGGAGCCTTCTGTTTCAGAGACCGCTTAGCTCTAATTAAGATTCATCTAAATCAATCTATCAAATTATTCGTCGCACATCTGCTTGCTTGATTTTTTTGAATTCCTCAAGTATTTCTGGGAAGGTTATGTTCATTTCGCTACTGGTTGGTCTGGCGTCTATATATACATTTCGGTCCACTGAGCAAGAATCTTATTCACAACAAAGTCAGCCCAAAATGATTGAATCTATCTTGAGGTTTCGAAATTGTTTTCCTGTAATCTGTAAAATATGGGGAGAAATGAGTGGAATACAAATAAGTTTAATTTAAAAGGCATATGTCCGCTCAAAATGTATAAGAGATAAAGAGAGGTGAAAGAGACATACAAAGAGAAACATATCAGTATACTATCTAAAATTGACAAAATGAATGACAAAAGCTATCATCTTTCATTGAATGTAGCTACTGTTTACTGTTTATTTGCAACTTTTGCTCTTGAAACCAAAGAAACTATTTATCAGCAAAGAAAAGCACGATGTAAAATTGTAAGTTATTGAGAAATTTCACGCAAATATTTTTTTTTTTTGTAATTCACACGTCACTGAATATCAACAATGAATGATTTTAATAATAACTTTTCATATCTCATTGGTGACATGTTTTTTGGTTAGATGATTTCTTCTTTTATGTTGTTCTAAACGATAAACATACGTACTAATAAATATATAAATAATTATTTTATTTGGGTATTAAGTCATTAAATTGGACGTAATTTAAAAGCTACGATGCTCTTTGTGTTTATTCTTGATGTGAAGTTTCTATCCCGATTTTTTCTTATAATATTAACAATCGGATCCTCTTCAATCTTAAAATAACTCCAATCGGCACACAATTATGTTTCTAAATATTTCAATAATTAATTGAATAATAGCGGTACTATTTTGTGTCTAAATATTGATATTATTATAATTTTTATTTAGGACACGTCACATCAAGAATGAAAACTAAAGATCATTATTGTTTATAAATTATATAAAATTTAATGACCTAATACCCAAATAAAATAATTATTTTTAAAATATGTTATTGAAAGATCGATTAGAAGAGGTTTACAATAATATATATATATATATATATATATATATATAAGCTAGAAATATTTCAAATATTGACAGTCTATTTATTAACTGTAGGACATACTACAACAATGTTATAATAAAACGAGTCAGGACTGCTCCGAGAAAATACGTTTGTCTATTATGCTATCCAAAGATATCCATGCAAGGAATGGTATTCCCGAAATTCTCGTGAGCATATTCATAACAACATCTGTCTCCATAATAACGAAGCAATAATATTTCCAAATCATAAAACAGCTTGAATGGGCAAACGGAATGTGATACCCTGAACAGATTCTGGTAGGTTTTAAGTTTTGTAAAAAATTAAGTGATCAGTCATACGTAAAAACTACAAAGTCTAACATTCATTCATTGTTAATAAAACTTATGACAATGCCGAGGAAGATAAAATAATATAAAATTTTTGAAAAATGCTGATGGCAGTGGGTTTTTGACTGAATAATTACTATTCTAAAGAATGTTATTAGATGATTAAATTATTAAAACAAGTCTTTAGAAGTAAATTCGAAGTAATAAAAGGTTAAGAAAATGGAAAATTTTCGAAAATAGGAAATGTCCATAGAGAATACAAGCTATAAATAAAATTTGAGATCATTCATTAACACTAATACCTTCTATTAGGAATAAATAAATACTTACAGTTTAAAAAGCCATGGCCTTGTGTACTGAAACAAATTAATTTTATGAAAATTTTATATTTTTCAATAGTAATATAAATAAATATAGAAATACTAAAAAAATAAAAAAAAAACTCAAATACCTGCCAAATCTTATAGTGAACTTTTTGTCCAGTGCTTTGTACAGTTCGCCTTGCGAGAGCGACTTCGGTATAGTGGTCAGTCCTTGTGAACTGAACTTCTCCAGGGCGAACTCTGGTTTGGTAGCTATATGACCATACTGGAATAAACAATATACCAGACCATTTAAGTGACAATAAATTGGCATATGAAAATTTTAATAATGGGAGGGGGCTTTAGTTATTGGGTTGTAATCGATAGAGGAGACTGAATACTTTTATGACAGTCGTCATATTAGGCTATTATTACTGCAAATTGCAAGACCAAAACCAAGACCGCCTCAATGTTGCAAGACCAAGTACCACCAACTGGTAACCAAGTAACCAAATCTGGTAAAAAAAATGGAATTTAAAAATAAAAATTAAAGTAAAATAGTTACTAATGCTTGGCAATTTCAGATACGATATGTAAAGAATTAGTATAACCTATATACTTTTGAATTTTACTCTTCTAATTTTTCCTTCGAACTTAGTTAGGTTTCCCCTATCTAAAAAAATATAGTAGTATCTCTATAATACTAAGCTAATAGGTAACTGCAACACCGTTGCGAGACTCTTGAGCAACACCAAGACTGAGTTTACAAGACCAAGACTCGTTTCGGTCTCAAATTTGGGCAACACTAGTTATTGTAAGGAATAGCCGATAGATTTATTAGGAAGAAAGAGAAGTACCTGTCTTAACATATTTAACAGTATAGACATTAACGCTAGTAGAGGTCTTCATTACTTTTTAACAGACAAAAGTAACTATTTATATTCTATTTCTTTGAATAATTGTTGTTATATTTGTACAGATAGAATTATGAAAGTTTTGCCTCGTTATAAGTTAAACATTAGTTGATAATTAGCAGTTCCTTTGTAAATAGATAAGTTCATTTTGCCGAGAAAGCTGTTTTTTTTTTTGGCTATTAGATACCCAGAATATGCTCGAGGAAGACTAAATTTATAACTTAGTTATAAGCGATTAAATTTTTCTATAGTGTTATATAATACAATGAAAGTGATTTTGGTCCATTTGGTGTTTTTGAACCTGTCAATGCCATTTCCAAGCACTGTCACAACCGTATCGAGTCCTAAGTAATGAATAAATTGGTGAAAATCTGATTGATCAATTATTCACTGATACATTTTTAAAATATATATATTCATTATATTATATATATATGTGGGGAGGAATGGAGTAGCCTTCCGGGCTAAGACGCTAGCACTTGGATGGGTGACCGTCCACCAAGGAAAGCCCCGCTGCCTGAGATTCCTCCCCTCCTGGGTATGTGAGCCCCGTCAGACTACTGGAGCTACTGAAGACAACTCACACCGATTGGGCGTAGGATTGATGACCATAGCCCGTACTTTAAATCGGAAATCGGGATGTGGTCTAGGAGACCTTACTTGCGGTCAACGATCTTCATGGTCTGTAGCGCCAACCGAAGAAAGAAAAAACAAAACAAAAAAAAACATAAATATATAAAACTGAATAATCACCTCATGTCCAGACGTTTCAGGAAGAGGTTTTATGGTTCTATCGTCTTCTTCTTCTTCATCACTTTGATACCCGTCTATTTTATCTTTTTTCAGTGCCTTCAGTTCGTTGTAAATTGTCCTTAAAATTGAAATGTATAGAATAAATTTTATGAAAAAAAATGGGTAAATTTATATTTAACATTAAATTCTAGAGTGTTGTTACAATAAATTCATATTAGTCATATGATAATATGGTGTCATAGTATATGCAAAGGTTATGTTTTTCTCTCTCAGTTATTTGCTTTTTTAACAAGTAAAGTCTAAGTTAATTGTTTGTAAAATAATTTAGTGCCAAAAGTAAGTTTGAAGAAGCCGAAGCTGTTTTGTTCAAGGATTTGTTCAGCCAGATAAGCCCAAAAATGTTTTATTTTTTTTTCATTTTTTTGTTTCGTTCCTAAATTCTTTACTTATCTAAAAATAGTGAAGTTAATCTAATAATTATATACAATTATAAATTCCTTTGTTTTCTACTAATTTTTGGATTTTTTTTTTAACATTAATTACGTAACCGCACAATGAACGGTACTGATCCACCCAGTCCACATTGAAAACGTGGGAAAAGAGGCAGAGTAAATCTATGCTCGACAACTCTAATATTCCAGATAACAACCGTAATGTAACTCCAAGTTACTTAGTAATGAGTAGGAAAGATGAAAACAATTTCAAAAATATTTCTCATTTTTTCATTAATAAGGTTATCACTAACGCTGTTGGTAATGTTGAAAAACTACGAATAGTTAGAGATGGGAATTTGTAAATTGAAACCACCAACGCAAAACAATCAGAAACATTATTGGCCACTACGAATTTTGGGGGTCAATTTGAAATAGAGTTTAGTCCTCATCGTACCCTAATTATTCTAAAGGCGTAATTAAATGTTATGATCTGCAATTCGCAACGATGGAGGAAATAAATGAAGAACTAAAAGATATAATATCAAATATTTTTAAAATGGTGAGGGAAAATTTACTCACAATTACATATTATCCTTTACTACCCCCAAGCCTCCCGAAACACTTAAAATAGGATTTTTAATAGTCAATGTTGAGCCTTATGCACCAAAACCTTATAGATGTTATAATTGCTTGGAATTTTCACACCTGACAAAACAATGCAAAAAAATGCACTATGTGCTAACTGCGGTCAGCCCCGACACAACGATAGCTCGATATGTTCATTGCACCCGAGCTGCACCAACTGCAAGGGGAATCATTCCGCCTTCGACCAAAGGTGCCCCATTTTTAAGTTACAAAAAGATATCAAGGCGATTCAATCTAATAATATGATCTCATACATAGAGGCAAAAAATATTTTAAGAAAAAAAAATCCATCTATATTCCTAAAATCATATGCAGAAGCCACAAAATACTCTGAAACAAAAGATATAGGAGTTGAAGTGAACTTCACTTTTGCGACCCCTTTGACTGCTACACCTAAAAGTTTAGCGGACATATCGACTATAAGATCGAGTTCAACATCGGTCGGAACGGAGGCGATGAACTTAACCGTATTCACTCCGACTATTCCTCCCATTTCCTCCTCTCGTATTCCTTCCACTTCCTTGATCCCTTCTTCCTCACCAACCCCCTCCTTTTCTTCTCTTTCATACAGCTTTTCCTCTTTACCCATCTTTCCTCCCCCGACCAACCCTCCGCCTCCCTCATCCTCCTATCCGTACCTCACGATCCACTACTACTACACCTCTCCCACCAGCAGAGCAGCTAGCTGAACGGACTCTGGAGGCGGGTGAGTCATCTTCTCCGGACTGCTCTATGTTGTCTGATGAAGACTCCGGGCAAACGGGTGTTGATGGTTATCAGCTACAAAGTAATAAAAAAGGAAGGAAAAAAACAAAAACAGTTAGCTACTGATTAACCGCTATAATTAAATGTTACACTTAATATCATCTTCTAATTTACAATTATTTTATTGTATTATCCTATATAAACTTCCTTCATTAGCTAATATTTTGCTAAAGCATTTCAAAAATCACAAAACCACTTTATTTCTACAATTAAATTATTTATTAAGTTATTTATTTCTTATTACATATAATTCAAATCTCATGTATATTGCAACCTATTTTTTTGTTTATATCTCAATTAAATCAATATTGCTATTACATTCTAAAAGCCACTCTGTTTCAACGGCTTATAGGCACTATGAAAGGTTATTCTTTTATCTACTCCATAACCATGCCTGATGTTAAAATAATTCAATGGAACTGCAATGGAATCTTAACTCATTTCACTGACCTACAGCTATTGATACAGGACAACCACCCCACTCTCCTGTGTCTGCAGGAGACACACTTAAAACCCAGTGATAAGTTGACACTTAGGGGCTTCGAACGTTGTCTTCTGGATAACGTTAGTGGAGCTCGAGCTTGTGGAGGAGTTATGACATCAGTATCTCACCGTTTGCAATTTGAACCACTTTACAAGCTGTTGCTATCAGAATTCTAGGTGAGCAACCCCTCACTTTATGCAACGTATACATACCTCACCAAGCACCGCTAACATCAGAACAGTTGGAATCACTTTGTTGTCCACGATACAGGAGAGAGATGAAAAGACGTGGTGTATCTCTTCAGCTCTGTGAAGCACTAACAGATAACGAACAACGTATCCAGAGTACCATTCAATTCATTAAGAACATAGGGCTAATTCGACTAATCTAAACTAAATTATTTTGGTTCATGCCTGTACTCGTCAATGATCCAACTCCAGTTGTGGCGCCACCGACAAGCGGTCCTCTCCTCAGCCCTGTAAATTTCTCTGTAAGCTCTGTCTAAATTCACTGGCGTAACGTTCATCGCGAACAAATAATGTCTTAACAGATCGATATTCGCGTTAGCAATGTAAGTTAACTGTACAGAAGTAATTCTTCGGTCTAAAAAATACTTCTAAATAAATCGAACAAACATATGATCCGTTTTGCTAACAGTATTTTAATATTTTTTGATTATTCACAATGATAACAATCAACAAAACGTCTGCCAAGTAAGGTCAGTATATTTTCCTCACAGTTTCCATTGGCTAAAATATATCAGTATTACAAGGTATACAATTATTCGTATGATAATAAAATCTCTGGGAGAAGCCGATTCAGAAATACAGTTACCCTTCAACATTCACTGGTTTGATATCCTCCAATTTCGTTTATCAGCTAATATTAAAATGCGAAAGAGTGCCGTATTTGAAGATTACATTTTGATTATTCTTATTAAAACAAAAATACCGATGCATACAGAACATAAATTTCACTACTGATAGTGCAAAAGGTCTTATGTAAAAATTCAATATTTCTTTGTGCTTTATTGGTGTAATTTCGTATTTTATTGTCCTCTGCTATTTTCTATAGTAGCAGACTCCTTATATCAGTTGCAGACTACAAAATGTCACCTTTATCACAAATAGAATAAAAGCTAAAAATGTTTACATACGACCTTTTGCACTAATAGTAGTGATATATACTTAGTAGGTTCGTTTTCACTCGTAAAATGGATGGAACTAGAAAATCCATAGGAAAAATTCAACTTGTTTGTTCGGAGTTAATGAGACCAATACATTTCTTCAGTCAGAACAAAACTAATTAGGCTTCACACAACTTCGATATTTATGGAAGAAATCGAGACCAAGACGAACTGGTTGAATTTCAATGAAAATAAACACAATCACAAATAAGACCTTTTGTTTTGTTTACAAATTCAGTGTAAAAATTACTTTAAATTTACTCAAAATTACACGAAATCTAAGTAACGGCAGTAAGTGTCATGTTAGTAACGTTTGAAGTCAATCAAACATGACACTATCAATTAATTTTTTTAATAAAACCTAAAATTTCATAACCCCATAACAATATTGTAATAACCTAACTCCCACTCCATAGTACCTTCAAAATTTCACAGCCATTATATTGTTAACAATTATTTATATTAATTTTAATTATTAAACGGAATTCAATGAAATTTATACTAAGTAATTTCTATACTGTTCTCCAAATTTCCACCAAGTTTGGATCGAATCGAATGCGCCGTTTGCAAACTATAAGCATATCAAATAACACAGTTCCTGATCTAAAAGCGGAAGTTTTTTTTTGTGTTGTAGTAGAATTTAATAAAATCGATATCTATTTTATGTTACGTTTACCAACCCCTAAATTCCCTCAAAATTTGAGCCAAATCGAACTTATGGTTTTACAGATATAGACGTATCAATGAACAAACGTTTGCACATATATAAGAGAAACCAATGGGCAGAATACAGTAATGACCTGAATTATATATTCACAAGTACCTAGGTTTCATCCAATTTTGAGCCAAATCGAACAAGTCATTTCTGAAATATTGGCACATCTACAAAAATGCGTTTGTACTAGCTTAAGCGGAAGTGCTGATTAAAATTTAAAAGAATTGATATTGGACCATATAGACTGGTGTCTAGTGTCAAGCGGGGTTGGTACCCGCACAGTTCTTGAAAATGCGACAAGTATGATTTTGATAGTTTCTCATCTTCAGCGGATGTAAAAAATATTTTAACTGGGCACACCCTAAAGGGAACCAGTTATTTAACCCGTCACTGGTTACCAGTTACTCTAAGAAAAGGTGTTCCTTATTCCTCTGTCCTTAGGTACCTGATCTCAACCTTGACGCTTTGTCAGGAGATGTGTTTGGTGTTCGCATATTTTAACTTTGTTTTCATTATAGTTTATTTATCTATTAGTCAATTTATTATATAACTTACAGACGAGTACATTTTTGGGTCATGGATCAGTTTGTGTAACAGTAACCATCCGAAATACATCGCCACTAAAACAAAAAGAAATAGTTTGACTCATTGAAGTGAACTGCGTACCCCTCCTCAATCACTATAATGGACATTATGGAATGTTTTGACATACTGAACGATCAAAATGTGAGAAAAAGTTAGACAATATCTACAATAGTTGAAACTAGGATATTTCTCTGGGTGAGGAGGCGGCATTAAGAATACATCCCCAATGTATTCAAATACAAGCTTAATTTTTCCGCGTGCTCTTCCTTTTACCCCCATCTCCAAATTTTCCGTCTTCATAGTAAAAATCAAAAATTATTTGCAGGTATATATATATATATATATATATATATATATATATATCAGTATATGAAGGCATGGAGGTTAAGATGGACAAGGAATGTAGCTTGTAGCAATCCATCTGGAAGCCTCTCCGTAACAATCAATGCCTGAATAGAAGGCAAAATACCACGTGGAAGCAGATGGATAGATAGAATCAACAAAGAAATACTAGAGAGCTGCGTGCAGATAAAAGAAATAACCCATGACAGGCGGAGATGAAGCTAGCTTGTTAAGGCGGCAAAAGATCTATATAGTCTGTGATGCCAACAGAAAAACAAAAGATATATATATATATATATATATATATATATATATATATATATATATATATAAGTTAAGCGTCGGCGGACTCTAACAATAAAAAAAAAGAAAGGAAAGGGCTTGAAATGCAACACTCACGGTTTCAGAAAAGATACTGTTTTATTCCTTTAGTAATCCTCCTTATATACATTTCATATGTTTATTTACATTCAGGACTGTATTAAGGCTGATATCGCCGGTCTCCGGTCTTTATCTCCCCCCCACCAGTTTACGAATAGGATTTTTCGGAAACTTAGATATTCCTAGATCGGAGCTAACGATTATCAGTCTTAACACCTTACAATTGTTTTTACAAGTATAAAGTTGAAAGAAAGTAAAACTCACTCGAGACATACAATAATACAAAGAAATAAAAAAAAACAGAACTAAACACAACACTTGCTTCCAAAAACAGAACTCTTAATACCCTAAAATAAAAAAAAAATAATACACTTTCCTCTATTGTATTGCTATGATTCTATTTACACATAAAAAAAAAATACACCATATTTTTGCTTAGACAACCAAAAAAAAACATATTTGTTAAAAACCGTGGTGAGGGTACTACGAATCCATTAGTTTTTGTTCCGGTTCTATCATTGGGAGCTTCAATTGTTCAATGTGAACCGTTCTCCTCTTTCTAGGTTCATTAACGCTTTCGATCGTTAGTAGATTATGCTCCCTAATAGCAATCACTCTGAATGGACCCTCGTATCGTAACAATTGTTTCCCTCTGTTGGTCCCTACTCTACGGTACACTATTGTCCCGATCTTTAGATCACCCATTTGGTCACGTACGCGAACATTCTGCCTCTCTACCCGCTTCTCCTTTTCCCGCTTAATTTTCGCCGTTACTCTTCCCCACGTCTTTTCCACCTCCACCCTATTGCTCTGGATTTGTTCGACTAATGGTTCATTAACCGTTGTTTCCCCGCAATCTCGCCTTGGCCTGCGCATCCCGAATAGTACTTCCACAGGCGAAAATCCCGTGACGGAGTGAATCGAGTGGTTGTAGGCTGTTACCGCTTTCTTCATTGCAACATCCGGCTCCAACCCTTTTTCCCCCTGATACACCCGGATGTGGTCACTCAGCGTGCTGTGCAACCGCTCAATGCCGCCTCTACCCTTAGGATGTCCCGGGGTGTTATAATGCCAACGAATCCCTAGTCGTTTCACCTCCTCCCTAATCGCGGCATTGTCAAACTCCCTACCACCGTCCGATGTGATCCTCTCGGGGACCCCGTAGAACTGCACCCAGGTTTGTAGGGCTTCCGCAACTGCGTTGGCAGACTTGTCCATGACCTGGTGTGCCATAGCTACCTTGCTAAAGACGTCGATGACCGTGACCCACTTGAACCCTCTCCAGGTAAATGTATCAATCTGGAGGTCCTGTAGTGGCATATTCCCCGTCGGTGTCTCTTCCTGAATCCCTCTGGGGGGGTGTCGATCATATTTCGTGCGCATACACACCTCGCATTTCCCTATGACCTCTTGGATGGATTTTTTCATGCCCCACCAGAAATACTTTCGACGTAATGCCTGCAGTGTCTCGTTCACGCCTCGGTGGTTGGTTTTCCCCTGGTGATAAGCTAATGTGACTGCCTGTTGCTGTTCCTCATCCTGTATAGTTTCCACTGCGTACTTGCAACGGATGAGTGTTCTGTCCACACCAATTCGCTCGGATCTCCACATCCGGTTTATTTTATCCCATACCGTGTTATTCCCAACATAAAGATGGTGCGTCTTTCCAGGTTCCGTGGCGTCCTTCAGTGCCGTACAAATTTGCTCTTCACTCACCCCGGGTTGCGACCAGATGACGCGAATCTTGCTTTTCCCATATCTTCGATAATCTATTTTCATCATCCCTGCTACTCTCGTTTTCCAGATTACCTGACGATGCTTGTCATTGATGATGTCGTCTATTTCCTCCATTTCCACTGCTCTTTCCTCCGCTGAGCTCTCCTCTTCCGGGGACTCTCCCCTGTCATCTATACCGACGATATCATCCGCTCCTTCGCCATCGGGAGTCCATTCACTCAAGAATTGGCGCACGTCTCGCGATGGTCCTCCCCCGTCCTCTTCTACCGCGTTGATCATGATGGCCCTAGAGAGCCAGTCCGCCACCACGTTCTCCTTTCCCGGCTTATACACCACCTCTATATTGTATTGACTAAGGACTTCCTTCCATCGCGTGACCCTAGCTGAGGTTTCTTTAAGTTTCCCTACCCACTGCAGGGGTTTGTGGTCGGTGTGGACTCGAAATTTCCTCCCAAATACGTATGGCCTGAAATGGTCGATAGCCCACACTATCGCGAGTAGCTCCCTCTCCAAAGCGCTGTATCGCGATTCCGCACCCGTAAGCCGACGGCTCGCGTATGCTATCGGTCGTTCACCCTCACTCCCCCCCTGGGACAAAACGGCCCCTAACGCGTATTCGCTCGCATCGGTGGTTATATTAAAGAGCTTCTCAAAATCCGGGAACGCTAACACCGGCTCTGTCAGCAACCTATTCATACATTTTCG